TCTACAGCTTCTTAAACAGGGATTTTTGTGTGGGAGTAACAGTACTGAGGCAGCTATTGAAAGTCAAATATGTTTTCTTCTTTGTGGCAGAGTGCTTCATTGTGTATAAACACCGCATTTTCTTTACCCATTCATCTGTTGATGGACTTGTTAAGGGAATAAATCAGATACATATGATTGACTATCACATGATTTCTCTTTTGGAGAAACCCAAAAGAGAAGATATAAATAAGGAGCAAAATAAAAGACAGATAATAGGAAGCAGGGAGACAGATCTTTTGCCAAAGGAAAGGGGACCAAGAGATGGAGGGATAGCAAAAGGGAAGGAAAGAAGGTGAAAAAAGAATTAAGATGTGTTATGTACTCGTATCAGCTCCTCACAAGGAATGTAGTCCTTATGTACTGCAAATAGGTACTGATAAAAATAGAAATTTAACAGCAATAACAGCAAAAAGGAAGTGGCAAGATCAGTGGCTGGGGTGGGGGAAGGAAGGCGTCAAGTGTGTTTCATGTACTCACAGGCAGAGGTGACTTCCTGTAGACAAAATAGGGAAGAGAAAAGTTTTGAGAATGAATTTGTGCTATTTTTCCTTGCTGTGAACATATTATATATATATTTGTATATAAACATAAATGTGTATATACGCTAACAACGTGTGTATATGTGTGTTATGTAGTGACACCTGTGTATATATATTCCTGTAGTGTTATTCACTGACCTTCCACTGTGGTGTTTTGATTTCAGGCTGTTTATCCTCGTGCTGATTGCCATCAGCATTGCCTGGGTGCCCATCGTGCAGTCAGCGCAAAGTGGGCAGCTGTTTGATTACATCCAGTCCATCACCAGTTACTTGGGACCCCCCATTGCAGCTGTCTTCCTGCTTGGGATTTTCTGCAAGAGAGTCAATGAGCAGGTAGGTATCATGCTGGCGTGTTCAGAAAAGCCAGTCTGTATAGTTTGTTTGTTTTTTGTCTTTTATTTGAGACAGGGTCTCACTATGCAATTCAGGCTGGTTTTGCACTCATTTTGTAGCCCAGGTTGGCCTCAAACTCACAGCAATCCTTCTGCCTCAGCCTCCCGAGTGCTGGAGTTACAGGCATGCACCACCACGCCCGGCTAGAAAAGCCAGTCTGACACAGAGTTTCTGAGATTATAAAGTGATCCTCCGGATTAGGCAGGTGGTTTGCTGAAGGGTAGCTCAAAGTCTTGAAGAAAATGTAAAGTGCTATGAATTTTTTAAGAGCCTCTCAAGGATAAAGAATAAAGCATTGAAAGAAGTTAACTGTCAAAAAATACATAGAGCCTTAGCAAAGTGTATCAATCCCATACGTATCAACTAAAATCAAGAAATATTTTTTGAAGGAATAAATGTATGGGGGATGTATGGGGAAACTATTTTCCTTTCTCCAGATCATTTATTCATCTGATAAATATTTCCAGATGCCAGGCATGATGCGCCTAGCACTAGCAAAACAAAATGAATGAAAATGGGTTCCTTCCTTGGACAAGCTCAGTTCAGATGAGAACACAGAGAAGAAATGCGTAATTACATAGTAGTGAGATGGTGCTGATATGAAGTTGTGTGCACATTGTTGTGGCCACAGCAAGGCAAGTGCACCTATTCAGTGTTGTGTAGCTTATTCTATTTAAGTTAGAGCAAAGTTATCCGGAAGGAGAGAGTCCATATTGTTTTGTACAGAGAGAATGACTTGGACAAAGATCCTGGAACACAAACATACATGACATGTTTAAAGAATACCTATCAACTAGCACACTTGGAATAAAAGTATAGGGGTAGTAATGGCTAGTAAAGAGGCAGATCAACACCACAAAATCATGAAGACTCCTTTTGGCCATCCTTCTAAGCGCACATTCTGATTTGTCACTGACCTACATGTGGCCTTTGGAAGTAGACACGATCTTTTAGGGGTAGACTAACCAGACAGCAAGCAAGCAAGCACAGGACAGTAAGGGAAGAAGGGGAGAAATGATAAAGGAAGGAAGGGAGAAAAGGAAGGAGAGAGGAAAGGTGGGCAGAAGGGAAGAAAGAACAGTATTAAAAAATCTTCAAAAAACAGTGCCCTAATATTTCTAATCTCTTAAAGCCTTCCTTGTTTCTCATATATAAACTTAAGATTTAATGTCAAAACACGTAGTATAATTTTATGTCCTCAAACTAAACAACATGACTTTGGATGTAGGTAGTGGGGTGAAGAAGGAAGTGTTGTATATATTTTTATGGAAAAGTGTCTTTTTCTTTTACCACCCCAAAGACTTATTCATTCTTCCATGTCTTCATGGATGGCAAATGACTTTACAGGTAATTATTTTATATCTGACTATGCTTAAATCTGGAGGTTGGTAGTGATAGTAACTGCAGAGATTCAAATTGTTTCTTAAATTAAAAGGAATCATTGGAATTAAGGTTTAGGGCTAACAATGTATATCAGCTATTAGATACATAGTATATTCTGAATCCTTGATTTGTGATCCACTATGGAAAACTTGACTTAGTCCTGAACTCCAATGTTCTGGTTTCAGAGGCCTGGGGCTACCATTTTTCTTACTTTTAATTTTCTGCCTCTGTTTACCCCCCAGGAATGTTAGAGTATCCACATGTTTAGGGGATTCTGCATTAGTTAACCCAGAATTTTCTTCCACAGGGAGCCTTTTGGGGACTGATCCTAGGATTTCTGATTGGGGTTGCCCGTATGGCTACTGAGTTTATCTATGGAACTGGGAGTTGCATGGAGCCCAGTAACTGTCCCACAATTATCTGTGGGGTACACTACTTATACTTTGCCATCATCCTCTTTGTTATTTCCATCATCACCATCCTGGTCGTCTCCTTCTTCACCAAGCCCATTCCAGATGTGCATGTGAGTATCTCCTTGGAAGACCTTTCCTGCCTTATTTCACATTCAGACTGCAATGCTATTGGTTGGCCTTGGCTTCTTTAGACATCTTGTGTCTAACGTAGTGCATATTTACCATTCATTTCATGTAGGAGGCTATAGGACAGGAAACATGGTACACAGGCCTAGCAGTAAGACGCATGTGGTTCAACAGAGTCTTCTAAGCCCATACTTCAGTATAAGGACTCTTCTTTGCATCCTAGTGACAGTGTAAGTACAAGAGAAATGAGATCACATGAGCCAGACACAAGGCTACCTTAGCTTAGAAGCCCATGATCAAAACGAGAACTAGTATTTCTTACAACAGTCCCATGGTCAAAGCTTTTGGAACCCCTGGCAAGGAACATACCTAGCTATAAAAATCATGGCACCTAAGAAAATCTGCTGTGTAGTTTATTTCTTAATTTTTTTCCAGTTAAGTCACCAAACAGTTGTTTATAGAATTTAAGTTTTTTTAAACAGTATATGTTGGCCTTTTTCTGCTTCTATAATACAATACCACAGAGTGAGTAAATTATAAACAATAAAAGTTGATCTGGCTCAAGTGCTGGAGGCTGAGAAGCCCAAGATTGAGGGGCTGCATCTTATGAGGAGCTTCTCACAACATGATAGCGTGGTAAAAAGTATCATATGGTAAGGAAGAATGTGAGAGAGAGAGAGAGAAAGAAAGAGAGAGAGAGAGAGAGAAAACCAGATTTCACTCTTTTATCTGCTACTGTGATAATAGTATTAATCTATTTGTGAGGGCTGGTGGTCTAATTACCTCTTGATGTATCACAATGCCTATTAAATTTCAAAATAAGTTTTGGAGGAGACATTTCACCTGTAGTACAATATTCATGTCTAGTTGGTTTAAGACTTCAAAAATTGCAAGTATACTTTAGCTCTAGATGTTCCCATTGGTTTAGGTTTTTCTTTTTAAATAGCCTTACCAATCCAGTTGAAGATTATCAATTATGTGCCTATTTTACCATAAGCAATATAGTCTGGTAATCCAACACAGTTGACATTCCACCTTTTTTAGGTTTCCAAGGGAACAGAGCTATAAAGTTAACCCAACGTCATATTTAGCCATAGAGAAAGAGAAGGAAAGAAAGAGAAAGAGAAAATGTTTTGGTGAAGCTATCTTCATGTAAATACCAATTCAAGGGCGTATGACATCTCTAAGAGACATTCAACTTCACTGTCAAAATTTTGAGATCTGCAACAAAACTTGCTATCAAACAAAACGGCCTTTGTTGCTACCGAACCACTATCAAGTCAGTTGACTGGGTCTATCACTGTCTTTGTGTTGTATCAACAGCTTCCTCACATGGCAGTTTTTGAAAATATTAGAGCTCCAAACACTGTGAGTTCTGTGCTTCCTCTTAAAGCAGAGTAAGCAAGACAGTCACCAAAGTGCGTGACTGATATGAATACATTTCACTGCTTTTCAGAATACAAGTTTTGGTTTATAGTGTACATTATGTCAGTAGAAACTGCACCTCCTACTCTACCCTTTGGAATATGGCTCATGTTTCTATATTGTACTTTTTAAAAGTTCAGGGAATCTTTATTTTTTATGATTAGTGTATGTTTGTGATACATATTAATGATATTCATCTTGGGACATTGGTACATCTACATATTGCAAATGTATTGCATACTACAAATCTTAATCATTTTTACTGTCTTTTCTCCCTCCCCTCCCCTGCTCCTCTTTCTCAGATCTCCTCCCCGTCTCCACAAAGTTTAATTCTCTGTCTTGTACCATCTCTCTTTTATTTTACTTTTAAAATTATTTATATTTTGTGTTTCTCATGTAAGAGAAATCATGAAGCATTTAACTTTTTTTCTCTGATATATTTCACTCTGCATGATGGTCTCAAAATTTATCTATTAGCCTATAAATGACACAAATTTACCTTTATAACTGGCTAGTACTCTATTGTGTCTATAGAACACATATTTTTATTCATTTGTCTGTTAGTAGATATATGGGCCACTGTTATAATTTAGCAATCGTGAATGTGCTGCTAGAACCATGGGTTTGCCTGTATCACTGGAATATGATGACTAAGTTTTTGGAGAAGATGCTTAGAGGAGGAATGGCTAGGCCAAATGGAATTTCTAATTTTATATTTTGAAGCATCTTCATGCTGATTTCATAGTGGTTGTACTAGTTTACATTCCCACCAACAATGCAGAAGAGTTCCTTTTTCTTCAAAACTTCCTCAGTATTTGTTGATTTTTGAGTCCTTGATTATTACTGGGATACAGTGGAATGCCAATGTTGTTTTGATTTGTGTATCTGCTATGGCCAAAGATATTGAATTTTTTTGATGTACTTATTGGTCACTTGTACTTCTTTTTTAAAGAAATGTCTATTCATTTCAGTTGCCCATATTTTGATTAAAAAAAATATATATATGAATGATAATAATTTTGTTTGCTGGTAAAAGAATCTAGCCATCCTATAGGTGGTCTCTTTATTCTATTGGCTTTCTGTTGCTATACAGAAGCTTCTTGGTATAATCCTGTTTGTTGATTCTTGGTATTATATCCTGTGCAGTTAGTGTTCTGTTCTGGAAGCCCTTGCCTATGCCTATGTCTTCAAGATTTTTACCAATATTTTATTCCAGCAGATCCAACATCTCTATTTTTATGTCTAGATCTTTGATTCATTTTGACTTGATTTTAGCACAAGGTGAGAGATATGGGTCTTGGTTCATTCTTGTGCATGTGAATAACCAGTTTCTAGCACAGTTGGTTGAAGAGGCTATCTTTTCTCTACAGTATGTTTTTTCCCTTTTGTCAAAAATTAATGACTGAGGGTACCTGGAACTGTTTCTGCATCCTCAGTTCTATTCCATTAGTCAATGTGTCTATTTTTGTGCCAGTATCATGTTATTTTATTACTGTAAGCTTTTATAACTTGCAGTTTAGTATTATAGCTCTTACTTTGCTCTTACTTCTTGAGATTGCTTTGGCTACTTTGGGTCTCTTCTGGTTTCATATAAATTTTAGGATTGATCTAGTTCTATGAAAAATGCCTGTGGTATTTTGATTGAAATTGCATCAAATCTATATATCAGTTTTGGTAATATGGCTATTTTGACAATATTGATTCTACCTTTCTAGGAATAGCAGACATTTTTCCACCTTCTAAAGTCCTCTTCAATTCAGTTTTTTTCAGAGTACTATAGTTTTAGAATGATGTCTTTCACTTCTTCATTAGGTTAGTTCCTAGGTACCTAATTTTTTAAAGTTACCATGAACGGTGCTATGGGTTGTGTCTAGATGTCTCCCCAAAACCTCAAGCAGTCATAGGTGGGGCTTTTCATAGGAGGCTGGATCTAGAGTGTGTGATTCTGGGATTAAGTGTACAATACTGGGATTAAGGGATTGTGATTATTAAATTAGTCTACTTGTTGACTTGGCATAGTTCTGAATGTGGGTAATGGGAAGGCCCACCCTTGGTGTGAGTGCTACCTGGATAGAATATAAGAGACAGAAAGAGCGCTGCTGCTATCACTTGTTGCTTGCTGCTTTGCTGTTTTTTCACAACTTCACTGCTTTGATGCCTTAGTCCACCATGAACTGTTTCTGCTCTGTGATCCCCCTCTGTCATCCAACCCTGCCTTCAAGCTAGCTGACTAAGAATGGAAACCATTCATTACAAATTATGAGCCAAAAGAAACCTTTCCTTCTTTAACTGGGTATCAGGTATTTTGTCTCAGCAGTGAGAAAAGTAGCTAAGACAAATGGGATTGTTTTCCCGATTTCTTCTTGGTGGGTTCATTTTTTATGTACAGGAATGCTATTGATTATTGTTTGTTTATTTTATATGCTGCCACTTTGCTGAATTTGTTTATTAGCTCTGACAGTCTTTAGGTCTTCCATGTAAACGATTATGTCATGTACAAATAAGGATAGTTTGAATTTTTTCTTTCCTATTCACATCCTTTTTATCTGTTTCTCTTGCATGATTGCTTTGGTTAACATTTTGAGTACTGTACTGAACAGGAATGGTGAGAAAAACATCACTGATTTTAGAGGAAATACTTTCAGTTTTTCCCCATGTAGTATGATGTTGGCAGTGGGTTGGTTGTTAATAGATTTTACCAGTTTGAGGTAGATTCTTCTCTATCTGTTTTTATTAGAGTTTTATCATGAGTTGATGTTGGAGTTTATGAAAGGCTTTTCCTGCATTTATTGAAATGATCATGTGATTTTTATCTTTACTCCAGTTTACAAAGTACATTTATTGACTTACCTATGTTGAACCATCCTTCCATTGCTGGAATGAAGCTGATTTGGTCAGGATGTATGAACTTTGAATGATTTGGTGCATTCTGTTTGTAAATATCTTGTGAGAGTTTCTGCGTCTATGTTCATTAAAGAAATTGATTTGTAATTTTCTTTGGTTTTACATCAGGGTAATGCTAGCTTCAAGGAATGAATTTGGCAGTGTTCCTTCCTTTACGTTTCATGGAAGAGCTTGACATGTGTTGATATTAGTTCTTCCTTGAAATTCTGGTAAAATTTAGCAGTGAATCCATCAAGTCCCTGTCTTTTCTTAGTTGGTAGATTTTTTTAAAAAAAAATACTGCCTCTATTTTTATTCCCCATCATTGGCCTCCTCAGAGTTTTTAAACTGGTTCAATTTTGAAATTCATGTGTCCAGGAATTTATCTACTTCTTAAAGATTCTTCAATTTATTGGAATATAAAATTTCAACATAGTTTCTTATAATTCTCTGGATTTCAACTTTGTTGTGATTTTGCTATTTTAATTTCTAATTGCTTTGATATGAGTTTTCTTTCCTTTTGATAAATTTGGCTAAGGAGTTGTCAACCTTGTTTGTGCTTTCAGAAAACCAACTTATTGATTCATTGAGCCATTGTATTTTTTTAATGGTATTTTTATCTTTTATTTTTTTATTTTAAAGAAATTAGTACAAAAAAAGAACAATAGCAAAATACAAACAATGCAAAGCAAGTATATTAAAAATGATACAGGGTTTCAAACCCAATGATAGAGATTAACAGTGGTTGTTCTATTACATATTGTTGTCTTCAGTGAAGCTGCTCAGATTACCAGATGTAAGAATAGAAGATTGATCAAATCATTAAAGGGAATAATAATAATAATTTAAAGGAACATTAGAGACAATACACAGTGTCACTAGGCAGGATTGTAGGAATTCACCAATGGATATTATACTGCAAATTGTTGTCGTCACATAAGTTGCTCAGATTACCAGATATAAGCATGCAAAATTGGTCAAAATGTTTCTGCACATCAAAAGAAATCACCAACAGAGTAAAAAAGACCTCACAAATTGAGAAAAAGTTTTATCCAATTGCCACTCAGACAAAGGTTTCCTATCTAGAACATATAAAGGATTAAAAAAAATCAGGCCACCAAAATTCAAAGACCCAATCCAAAAATGGACATCTGAGATGAACACACACTTCTCAGAGGAAGAAATACTAATGACGAATAAATACATGAGAAAGTGTTCAACATCATTAGTCATTTGAGAAATGCATATTAAAACAACACTGAGATTTCATCTCACCCCACAAAGAATGGCTATCATTAAGAAATCAACCGATGACAAATGCTGGAGAGGCTGTGGGGAAAAAGGAACACTTCTCCACTGCTGGTGGGAGTGTCGATTAGTGAAACCACTGTGGAAATCAGTCTGGAGATTCCCCACAAAACTAGGATCAGAAGTCCCACTTAACCCAGCTATTCCCCTTCTGGGTGTGTTTCTAGAAGAATTAAAAATGTCATACCACAGCGATATATGTGCACCCATGTTTATAGCAATGCAATTTGTCATAGCTAACTCTTGGAGCCATTGTATTTTTAAATCTCCATTTCATTAAATTCCACTCTGATTTTTATAATTTCTTTCTATGAATTTTGGATTTGAATTGCTCTCATTTTTCTAATATCTTGACATGCATTATTAAGTTATTTATTTGGGATCACTCTATTTTTTTAATGTGGGCATTTACTCTGTAAACTTCCCTCTTAGAACTGCTTTCATTGGGTTCCACACAGTATTACATAGTACTGAAAAATGGCTGTGTAGCCTTTTTTCCTAGTATCAGTGCTAAAAGGAGCAAATTATTTTATCATGTGTAGAGAGATTCTACTTATTTAACAAATCTTTCCTTCCTTCCTTCCTTCCTTCCTTCCTTCCTTCCTTGCTTTCTTCCTGAGAGTGGGGATTAAACCCAGAACCTTCTCACTGAGCTACAGCCTTAGCCCTTTTTAATTTTTTTTTTTTTTACTTTTGAGATAGGTCAGGCTAAGTTGCTTAGGCTGGGCCCCAACTTGTGCTCTCCTGTGTCAGCCTTCCAGAGTGCTGGGATTACATGCTTGCACCACCAAATCTGGTTTAAACAAACACTCCTATATTTGATACAGTCAGCCTCTAGAATATCTACATAACTATGTGATCTATATCTATGTCTTAGTTACTTTTCCATTGCTGAGACAAAATACCTGACACTCAAAATTAAAGGAGGACAGGTTTATTTAGCTCACAGTTTGCAGAGGCTTCACTCCATCATTGGCCGGCTCCAAGGCAGAGTGGCACATGGCAGAGGTGCAATAGTTCAAGGCAGCAGAAGACAGCAAAAGAACAAAGGGGAGGAGCAAACTTCTTTTCCATCCCTTCTATTGTATGCAGGCTACCCACCCATAGGGCGAGTGTAGCACTCATACCTTGAATCATAGCACTAGACAATGAATCAATCACAAACTCTAGATTTACCCACCTCCAAAAAGCCCCCCCTCTGTGACCACATGAGGCTTTGGAGGGACATCCAGACACAAACCAAGTTCCCAACATATTTAGAGATAATGCTGTGAATTCTTGGGGGTACTCCTATAAAAGTTCTTGTAGGTACTAAGTGGCCATATTCTTTTTCCTTTCTTGATGCATATCTTTTTGTTCTGCTGACTTGAAACAAGACACTATTTGGATCTTTCTATTAACCTTTCTGCTTTCTCCACAGCTCTATCGTCTGTGTTGGACCCTGCGCAACAGCAAAGAGGAGCGTATTGACTTGGATGCAGTAGAGGAGGACATCCAAGAAGCTCCAAAGGAAACTATTGAAATAGGTGATTGATGACTCAATCCATAAAAAGTTACTCCACAACAGCAATTTTAATGAAATTTATACCAAATGCATTCATCAAAGTTCAAATCTCTTTCCTGCAGGAGGAAATGAGTAGGGGTGGGATGAGATGAAATAATAGTTTTGGGAAGTTCACTATGAAATCTAATCAGGGGAGAGGAGGGAGGTGCAGTCACCCAAGCTGCCTTATCCCTCATGTTGTATGATGCTCAGTGAATCAAAGGGTGGGGCTTTTGCTACCTGCACTGATTCAGGGCACAGTCAGGGATACAAGACTCAGCTATTTTCTGACTTAGCCTGTGTACTGAGAGCAGATGGAACCAAAGATACGCTCAGTTCTAGTGATGTCAGGGGGATGGGATAGAGCTTTTGGAGGCAGGTCTTATATTTTACCATGTAAAACTTAGAAAATCAAATTTCTCTGGAAGCCTAAGATGATGCTTCATCTGTGTCTGGAGGCTTACCCTTTAAATTACTGCTTTCTTCAGCTTCAGCATTTCAACTTTTCTTTCCTACAAGGAGAAGCACACGCACATAGAATGGATCTGTGTGGCTTGCAGAACTATGGGAGCTCAAGGTCTTGTGCTTTGCCTGGTGCTAGGCGGAAGCCTCACCCCTCCCTCTGAAGGACAGCAGAGATGAAGCAGAACACGTTCTGAATCTGATCAGGAATGTCATTGAATCCTAGCTCTGGAAAAGGCCCTACAGATTATTTGATCTTATTACCTCATTTTATAGACACTCAAATTGGGGCTCAGAGAGAGAGAGAGAGAGAGAGAGAGAGAGAGAGAGAGAGAGAGAGAGGAGAGAGAG